TTTTTTTCCCCATTTGACAGGGTGGCTCTGTTTTACTGCTGACTGGTCCTGCTGGTTGTGGTAAGACTGCAACTGTACAAGTATTAGCAAAAGATCTTGGTGTTCAGGTGCAAGAATGGACCAATCCAATATCTTTAGACTTTACAAAAGAAGACTTGAGGAGCATGTTTAGCCATGGTAAGTTTTTTTATTTTTTTTCTCTCCCTTTATTTGTTTTCTTCCAGTTACTTTTCTTATTTTTGTATTCCATATTTTTTGTTCTTTTCTGTCACATATGAAGTCAGATCCACATGCATGTAGGTCAAATCCTGAGTGTTTAATAAGAACTTTTGTTTTGCTTCTATCTGAAAAGAGATTTTTTTTTTTTATAGTGTTCATTCCAAAATCATTTACAATTCAAATCAGGATAGAGAACTGTGTAATTAGCCTGGATATCATTTGAGCCAAATAAATAAAAATAAGTAATTCTGTCTTCATCTGGGTCCTCAAATGAATTATAACCTTTAAAGATTCTCTTGTGTTTCGTCACCTGCCAGAGGGCTTGGCTGCTGGTGTTCAGTGGCTGCTGTCAAAAAGTAGCATGGGTGGGTGTTGGTTCTTGTGGGTATTTGTATTCTACTTATTGTAATGTGATACAGAATACGTATTTTTAATTAGTTTTCTTTTTCAGACTCAGATTTTCATCAGTTTCCAAGTCAGGCCCAAGCAACTCTATTTCAAGATTTTCTGTTAAGAGCAAATAAGTATAATACACTTCAGATGCTTGGGGAGTCTTCAGAAAATGATAAAAAGCTGATTCTTGTTGAAGTAAGTGAAAACTTGTGAAATCTTGTTTTGAAAATGGTACCTTTTATTGTAATTTTGGCATGCTAGCTAGCTTCACCTGGTGGATTGGCATTGTGAATGGTTATTCTGCTTTACTGCAGGTGAACTTAGTGCTTTTTGAGTGTCTACAGCAGTCTTAAGAATCAAGTTCTAACTATAATTGAGCTATACAAGCTAATATAAAGTATATATGAACTATATAAGGAGGCAGAAATTGGGGACTAGGTTGTGTACAGAAATAAATACTAATCATAAAGTACATCAATACTGAGAAGTCATACCCACGCTTCTGTATGATCAGCTTTCTAGACATACATGTGTGTAATAAACAGAAATGAAATGAGGAAAACCCTCCACTGTTCTTGCTACTTAAGGATGCAGGAGAGTGTAGAAGATACATGAAAATTAACACAATCAGAAGGTGTTTGAAATTTGGCATTGCCTGGTCAAATGTGGGCCAGGGGATTATTTAGGGCAGAGAGGTGAACGCTGAGGGTTTGTGAGCTGTTAGAGGACGTACAGGAGAAGACTATTTTTAGTTATTCAGGAGTGTGTTTCAGTAGCATCTTCCTTCTGAGCAAAGAAATTTTATAATTGCCAACTTTTCTGTAAGCTTTCAAGCAAAAAAATACATGAATTAAAAATTCTAGGTGAGTTAATGTGATCTACTCAAGGAAGCAAAGTCTTCTGTGACTTCTCTTCATAAAGTCACTTTCTTGTGTGGATCATCTCCTGTTTCAAGTGGTATATCCTGTTCTCTTCCTCAGTGGAGCTGCTACGTTGAGTGTTTATCCTCAGAGTGAAACTGCAGTTTAATCACTCAAGGCTGCTTCTTGGGAAGAAAGGACAGAAAGTAAATGTTTCTTTTTAGATATTTGTTTTACCCATAATAAAAGAAAGGAATACTATGCTTGACACACTGTGCTGTAACAGTCAGTGAGTGGGAGAGAGTATTTACTTCTGAATGTAATGACAGCAGCTGATTTGTTTTGAACAGGACATGCCCAACCAATTCTATCGGGACCCTAGCAGTCTACATGAAATTCTCAGGTCAGTTGCTAACAAATTTTTAATGATTAGCTTTAACTGCTTGCAGTAAACTGGAGTTTGATTCTTGTTATACTTGCTTATTTTTCACTTTAGGAGATTTGTTCGTACGAGTAGATGTCCTCTTGTGTTTATAATCTCAGATAACTTCAGTGGAGACAGCAACCAGAGGTTACTGTTCCCAACAGAAATTCTAGAAGAGTTGTGTATATCCAATATTAGGTATGAAATTTTGTTTCATTACAACATGATTGACATAAATGAGAAGTTGGAAACTAATTTTTTTTTTTTTAATGAAATTCAACAGTTTTAAGCCTGTTGCACCAACAAATATGATGAAAGTTCTTAATCGAATAGCTGCAACAGAAGCTAGAAGGGTAAGTTGTGGAAACTGATAACTTCTATGCAGTGCTGGGACTGAAAGATTTCAGACTTACATCTGAAATATGTTCTTTATATGTTTACTATAATTGTTCGGTCTTTGATAGCAGAGCCCCACAGCCCCCAAAAAAACCTCACCATAATGGCCTCTCGGAAAACAAGAAAAAAAATGGAAAACATGTCTTGTTTTTAGGTTTAGTTCCATTTGATCCTGGGTCTAAGTCTTAAAGTTACTCCTGAAAATTATTCTGCCTATTACAGAAACTATCTCTAAGAAACAAATAATAGGAAGTGATTTTTGTTGTATACAGCATGGCCAGAAGAGGTCATGAAGCCAAATCCTATATTATTCCTGAACACTTTTAACTACAACCAAGTCTAATACTGAGTGATACCTTACGAAGAATTATGTACATTATTCTCTTCAGTATTGCCCCAGAAAATATGGCAGTGTGCTTAAATGGATTAAATGTTAAAAGTTAGCAGTGTTACAGGTTTGAACATGTGTTGGAGGCTTATGTAGCCTGTTTGTGGCATGTATCAGGGGTGGGTCCCCACAGCCAGAATAATATTCAAATACTCCTTGTCCTTTTTTTTTTTTTTTTTATTACTTTGAATATTGCTTTTCCTTATAGAACAGAGAAAAGAATTATGCTCTTGATAGAACTTCTCTGGAGTTGCTTTGCAGAGGTTGTTCAGGCGATATAAGAAGTGCAATAAACAGTCTTCAGTTTTCTTCTATGAAGGGTAAATACCTATGATTTTAAGTGAATGACATTTTGAACATTTCTGCTTTGAAGGTCACTGCTGCAGTACAGCTAGGTGAGCTGTGTGAAAAGTTTTTGACATGCTGCTCTGGAGCAGGCATAAAAGGCATGGAGATTGTTTGGCTGGTTGGTTGGTTTGATTGTTTTTGTTATAAAGCTGAAAACATTCCATTTCATGACTGTTAGGTGTAGTCTGCTGGATATGTGTTGTTGTAATATAATGAAATGCCCTCTTCTTCATCTCTTTGAACAGTAAACACACACCAATAGAAAAGCTTTGATGATGCAACCTTAATCTGGAAGGGATTTGCTTGGTTCTTAAACTTCTCCATGCCCTTATTTCTACCCTTAAAGCATTTCTGAAATGACCTGTTGTTGTTGTATACAGCATTTCTGTAATGATTTGATTTTGAGCTTTTGAGTTCCTATGGCTGTCAGTAAACTGAAAAGTTGTGAGGTAGCAGGACCTGCTATAAAGTTATGGAGAGTGTATTATAGGAAAACTTAGAAGTTGAGTGTTTTAATAGTCTTCAAATTACTTGCTTGGCAAGGCTCAAATCAGATTTAGTTTGCAATTATTTTAAATGCTCCAAAATCAAAAGAAAACAGAAGACTTCCTGTCATGTCTTTTGTAAGCATTGGAAGTCAAGAATTGTTGAGAAACCCATGTATGCAGGTTACATTATCTATTATTTTTAAAAGCAGTGCTCTGCATGTGTAGTTCTTGCTAAGAACCATTAGATGGTGCCGGCTGATTTATATTCAACCCAGAAATAAGTGAACTCGACAGTTGTCTTCTGCTGAATGTCATAAAGTTAGCAGTGATCCTGTTGCTTTTACTCATTTCCTCTCCCATTCACCCCGCAAATAGAAAATGTGCTCGTGGAATACAAGGTTAAGTGTAGCTTCAAGTCCTTGTAAGAGAGAGTGTTGTAGTTCTGAGTTTTAGAGTATATTGAAGTTAACTTAGCTGTATTTGTTAAGTGACGTGAGGGAGAGAGAGTAATGTCTCTAGGTTTAACTTGCAGATGTGGAAACTGAATTATACTGATGTTGCCTTCTTGTAAACTAGGTTTGTATTTTTCTGTGTTAATCGGGGGAAAAAGATAAAATTCCTCTCAGTAAAACCATTTTGATGATAATTCCATTAAGCTAATAAGTAAGTAGTTCAGTGATACCTGGGAAGAGTTTGCAGTAGCTCACTGCTGGATGTGGTAGGTTCTACATGCTTTGGAAAATAGTCTTAAAATGTCCAGTTTGTAATTTTTAGTGCATTACCTTGGAAAGACCATGAGAGTTACTAAGAGAACTTGGGAGAAAACAAAGGCATATGGCTAGACAGCTTCTGTACATGGCATTTCAGAATCATGGGCTGAAGTCCTACCACACTGAACATTCTCTTCTGACATTTTCTCTGCCAGGTTGAGAAGAGCTGCCTCCATGTTGAATAGACATTTTTTCAGTTGTTCAGGTATTTCAGTTAGGTAAATGATGGGCAACCAGTGATATTTTCTAAATTTTAGAGACACCTCACCTCCTTGTTCATCATCTGGAAAAGCAGCATTAGTTTTTA